ACACCCACCCACACACACACACACACACACACACACACACACACACACACACAGGCAAACGCATTCACTTATTCCAGTACACGATACAGGGTATAAGTTTCTTTAACTACATCCATCCACCCACAAACCAACTGATAAAAAGCAAGTGGCTTGTGGAATGCTTCTCACCAGGAATTGAAGCCACAAATCGACTTTTGAAGTTTACAACTTGGCAAACAGAGGATGGAAACCAAAACCATTCTAGAATTACATAAGTCGTTAAGGTTGTGCTGCATCTAACTTTAGAAGCAGTATCGTGCACTGTACTGTACATTTTGTACTTCAAAATCTGTGGACTGTCATGCCGTAACTCTATTTGAGCAATATAACCACAGGTTTGGTCAAAATCATGCAACCACACACACTGAAAACTACTTTGGCCATGAAAGTAGAGGTACTTAAAGTAATTGATTAATCAACATCTAATTGATGATGAAATGCATCAACAGCAATTTTAATAAGAAAATGTTTAGAGCCAGTGTATAACTTCAAATTAGACTGGTTATCTTTTTTGTGTGTGTAATCAAAATAAGACCTTTGCAAACATCTGCTTTTACTTTGGAAAAGAGGCCCACTAACTGAATCCGTTTCAAAATTATTGTTGAGTACAACATCAATTCCTCTCGTGTGATAAGAAAAAAAAAAAAACAATTATTGGTTAATAAGCAGTAATCGTGAGACATGGTTTTGGAGTACACTTTGTTGCAAAATATTTTTTTATCCGATGATTGAATAGGAACGGAAAGGGTATTGATGTGTGTCAAGGTGCCAGTTGCAGCTGTCAAATTGTTTTATTTATTTATTTTACATCTGTGACTATTGTTTAAAATGATTGTTTCTGAAATAGACTACTTATTTTTTTTCTTCTTATTTATTAATTTTGCACCTCCCTCAATTTGGTGCACAACAGACAGCTACTATGATCACTGGGCATTTTGGAAAGGAGTTCCATTTATGCTTGATTCTGTATCATGTCACCTGTGCGTTGTCGAAACGGAATCCAACACAAGCATTTTGAGACATGTTTTTATTTGGTGTGGTAGCAAAAACAGCACCGCGGTACTACGCTATCGTGTGGGCGCTCTCCTGGGAGGTCAAACGGTTACAGGACATGCACGGGGGAAGACAGGCACTACATACGGTAGCGTGTATTTTATTGACATCAGTTAGACCATCGACACTTCGGCACGTTCACGTTTCCTTCGACAACACCCCTGTTCACCGGAGGGGGATGCAATCCTTTGTGAGTGGAGGAGCTGTTGAGTATCTTCAAATTTCGGATTTGCCTTCACTTTAACGTCACTTTCAGAGACAGCACTCAAGTATCAGACATACAACACAGATTCTTTGGTCCCTTTCAGGTAATTGGTAGAGTAAGGATACTTTATTGCTTGTTGTTTAAGGCTGTACGGGAGAGTGAAGCTTCAGACATGTTAATGATAAAAAGTTAGGTGGGGAGTTGAAATGTAAGTGTAAAAACTACCAGAAGTGGGCAAATGGGGTGTCAGAGCACGGCGAGTTGCCTTGAAACTACTCTAGCTCAATCCTCGATGACCTCGGAGGACTCAGACACCACTCGGCCGTCCTTGGTCTCGATCATCTTGATGACCACGTTCTTCTTGGTCTGGGTACTGTAGCCGCTGCCGCTGCTGCCGCTGCCGTAGGCGCCGCCGCCGTAGCTGCCGCTGCTGAAGCTGCTGCCGCCGTAGCCGCCGCTGCCGTAGCCGCCGCTGGTGTAACCGCTGGAGTAGGAGGTGGAGTAGCCGCTCTTCAAAGTGTCCATGCCGCCGTAGCTTGCTGTCGAAACAGAGTCAAGGTTAAAAGTCAGTGGTGATCGGTCAGGCCCAGCAAAGCCTCTTTCCTCTCCAAAATACGATCAGAAGCACTGATCTACATTTCGAACCTAAATTTGTGCACAAAATGCTTTGACTTTATTTGCCACAGTCTACCCTCTTAATTGCGGAGTATTTCTCTAAGCTGTGCTGTGCTTCCAGCAGGCCAATCTATATATGTGGATCTTAGATGTTCTTTTTTGTTTTTTGTTTTTTTTTTGTCCAGTCTGACATCAAATTTGCCTCACAGGGTCAGCTAGCTGGCCCTCAAGAATCTCAGCATTTTTCAGTCCTCTGAGTGGTCAGAAAAAAAAAACAAAAAAAACATTTTACAGCCAAATTCAACGAGCAAAACACATCTCTAGGAATCTGCACACATTAATACATTTAATAATCACCATCTGTCATGTGTGTGGTATATTTAATGTGACCGTGGTGGCCTTAAGAAGGCCATTTGTTCCCATGTGCATCTTATATTTAATACAGAGCATGAATTCAGTTTTGTGATGAATCGGTGCAAATGAACTTATTAACCTTTTTGTGTTGTTTTGAGGAAAATTTCCCCTTCGTGCATGTCTGTTTGACTCCACCTCGTGTATTCTGTCTGGCAATAAGTGGCCACGCAACTGCATACTGTACTTCATATATTTGACTAAAAATATTTGACTAAACCCGATTAACCATGTAAGTGACACAACTCAAGTTTTATAGCAAATTACAAAGCAGCAGAATGCAAGAGTAATTTCAAAAGTTTTCCTATGATGTGTTCGACCCAATGTCTGGTGAATCACCACTCACCAAATTGTTTTCCTATCAAAGCGACACTTACTGCTCTGTTTGGAGATGTTGATGGCCTTGATGCCGTTTGCCAGCCTGTCCTCCTCGCCCTCCAGCAGCTTCCTGTAAGTGGCGATCTCGATGTCCAGAGCCAGCTTGACGTTCATAAGGTCCTGGTACTCGCGGATCTGGCGGGCCATGTCCTGCTTGGCTCTCTGCAAGGCGTCTTCCAAATCTTTGATGCGGGACTTGGCGTCCTTAACCGCCAGCTCGCCACGCTCCTCGGCCTCTGCGATCTGGGCCTCCAGGTTGGCACGCTGGGAGAAGGTCAAAACAATGAGGGTGAATGTGATTCTTCTGATCACTCGGGTTTCGAGTGTGATGTGGAAGATTCATCCGTACCTGTCCCTTAACGCCGTCAATCTCAGATGTCAGCCTCTGGATCATGCGGTTAAGGTCGGCAATCTCTGTCCTGGTTGCCCTCAGGTCATCTCCGTATCTGTTGGCAGATGTCTGCATCTCCTCATACTAAAGGAACATCGCCAAAACAAATGAAAAAAGCTTTGGATGAGCATGGCTGACAAAAAATATATAAATCTATAGTTATACCGGTACTCTAATCCAGACATTGATGAAATGCGATGAAACTAGCCCAAAATGTTCCTCTTTACCTTGGTCTTGTACCAAGTCTCCGCCTCAGCGCGGGTGCGGTTGGCAATGTCCTCGTACTGAGCCTTCACTTCTGCTACGATGGCATCCATGTCCAGGTTACGGCTGTTGTCCATCTCCACAATGACTGATGTGTCCTTGATCTGGCTCTGAAGCTCACGGAGCTCCTAGATAAGAACAAAAATAAAAAAGTTTTACACTCCACCCTGCTAAGGAATACCATCTAATGTGGCAGGTGCTGAGAAAAGCATCGGCAAGGCTTAAAGAAATACAACTTGTGAAGATTTTTGTTACCATACCTCCTCATAGATGGACCGGAGGAAGTTGATTTCGTCTGTCAAACTTTCCAGCTTAGCCTCCAGCTCAACCTTATTCATGTAGGCCTCATCAACATCCTAGAAAAAAAATACGAGATTGTTTTCAGTTTGGACATGCACCATTTTAAACAACGCATTGTTATTGGAGAATTGGTGGGAAGATGTTTTTTCAAGATGGAGGGTTGAATTAAATGAAAATACATGAGATTTGCATCTTTGTAAGGTAATGATTCATCTTTCATATTTAATTAAATGCAACATTATTGTAGTAGGCGGCCCGGTGGTCGACTGGTTAGCGCGTCGGCCTCACAGTGAAGAGGTCCAGAGTTTCATTCTGGCTCCGGCCTTCCTGTTTGGAGTTTGCATGTTCTCCCCGTGCCTGTGTGGGTTTTCTCGGGGTACTTCGGTTTCCTCCCACATTCCAAAAAACATGCCTGACAGGTTAATGGCGCATTCTAAATTGTCCCTGGATGTGATTGTGAGCGCAAATGGTTGTTTGTCAAGACCAGTTCAGGGTGTCCCCTTGCCTACTGCCCGAAGACAGCTAGGATAGTCTCCAGCATGCCGAAATACTTATGCTAATTAGGGTAAGAGCAGTGCTGGAGCCCATCCAACCTTAATTTGGGCTACAAGTGGGTTCCACCCTGTCATTAGCCATCCAATTGCTAGGCACTTATAGAAAAATAACCAATCACGTTCACATTCACATCTATGAAAAATTCAGTTTTCATTTTTTTTTCTTTTTTTAAATGTGGACAGAAGTCAGAGTACCCTAAGCACAGGGAGAACATGGACGCACCACCCGAAATAAGATTCAAACCAAGGCCAACTGACATGCTAACCACCAGGTTAATACGCTGCCCTTTTCCCCCCTTTACGATGAAAAACAAAATCACAGAATTTAGTGCCAAGAAAAAATATATCATTTTCAGTCGACAGCAACACAATACAATGTCGCACTTGTTCTTATATTCTGTCTAGTCTGTCTACTCCTTAATCTGCTACGTATAAAAGGGGCCTCAAGTCAAATTTCCGTGTGGTTTGATGTTTTAAATTCAAGTGAATTGAATCCAACTGACCTTCTTAATGAGGACGAAGTCATTCTCACACTCTGTACGCTTGTTGATCTCATCTTCATACCTGGCAGCAAAAAAGGGCACGACTAAGTCATCCACGAGAGGCTGACAGGCGAGTTATACACAAAAGTAACACTAGGTGGTGCAAGTTATCATCCCAATAGCTCCATTGGGAGCCCGGAACTCTGCTGCTTTGTGGAAAATATGAATACCAACAGCACGTCAAGTGCTTGCATTGAAGATCTGTGAAGATCTTCACGCTGCTGTGTGCAATGTGCCCGAACTTCTATATGAATATTTTTCCCTTCATGGTGGCACTCACTTGTTCTTGAAGTCCTCTACCAGGCCTTGCATGTTGTGCAGGTCGGCCTCCAGCTTCATCTTGTCATTGCCCAGGCTGTCGAGCTGTCTGCGCAGGTTGGTGATGTAGGCCTCAAACATGGCGTCGATGTTGGAACGCGTGGTGGTCTGGCCCTGCAGCAGGTTCCACTTGGTCTCCAGCATTTTGTTCTGCTGCTCCAGGAAGCGCACCTGAGGAAGGGAAAGACACCAAGACGTGATGAATGCAATAGTGGAGCAGGAAGAGCTTATACTTAATTAATGATGACCATTTACGGTATGTTTGGATCAACACACATAGAGTATGGTTCATTTTTGTGTATTTATTTTTATGGGTGAGACTAGCCTAACATATGGAATATATCGTCATGTGATTTAATGGTCTTAAAAAAATATGGTTTAGAGTGCTGAATAAAGACGAGTGCTTTCCACTCTTTTTTTTCTATGAATAAAAAGGGGATACTGGCTTGAACTAAATATGTTGAGGAGTATCACTAATGTTATAAATACTCCTGCCACCTCTGAACATCCATCAACCGCGGCATGCCTCCTGTTCGCCTTCTATAGTCTTTGTTGATCTTATCTTTCTTTGGAGCTTTGCAGGTTGCCTTTTTAGAGAGGAAGGCCTGACGTAGAACATGCATCCCGACGGGATGAGGGGGAAGGGGGGGGGCGATCAGAGTGTGGGATCAGGGGTGACGGTAGTCTAGCTGGAAAAAACTGGTGATGAAGGAACAGAGTGAGTTAACCCATCACCCCTGTGCCTTCCTGTTTTTGTAAATGAAGCCTTTTGCAGGCAAATGAAGGGGGGAGGCAGGGGAAGTGGGTTGGAGCAAAGTTTCATCTGCTGGCAGATGAGAGAGGGGGGGGGGTAAATATTTAACCAGGATAAAGGTGTGACAGAACTGGTTGGTATTAGGGTCCACGGGAGAATCTAATTTGCACACGTCAGAGAATTTTGGGCCTTCACGATAACTTTTGGATTTGCTACACAAGGAAGTATGTTTGAGCTTGCCGCACTACACAGCTTCGCAGCTGCTGTTGAGCAGAACATGAAACCAGCAGGCCTTTTTAAATATTAACCCACGGCTCTGGCCTTAGGAGGGTACGTGTTCCTTAGAGTTGCGTGGATTCAATAGGTAAAATGGGGTGTGTGTGGAGGAAGGGAGGGGGGGCAGTTGCACTCTACGTTCTAAAGTCCAGTGGCGGGGGCCAGTGAGAAGTAAGAAAGGGCCCCACCCCAGCTATAGGGAGGAAACCAATCCCAAGGTAACGTGTGCCGTGGCCTGACACGCCCTTTGCTATCTGGCTTGCTGTCGTGTGTGTTTGGGAGCCAGTTTCTGCATGAGTGGATCTCACCGTTTTAAAACGACTGCATGTGCACACAGAAGGTTCAAATGAGTGTCCGTTACTCTGCTGCAACTCTTTTGAACAGTTGCGCTTACCTTGTCAATGAAAGAAGCAAAGCGATTGTTGAGGGTCTTGATCTGCTCCTTCTCCTGGGTACGGACAGCCTGGATGGTCGGGTCAATGGCCAAGTTGAGCGGGGCCAGCAGACTCTTGTTCACAGTCACGGCGGTGAGAGGTGCTTGGCCGAGTCCCATGCCACCCCCAAAGGCCATGCCTCCACCCATGCTGGAGCCGAGGCTGTAGCCGCTGGAGCTGATGATGCCGCCCCCTCCGAAGCCCTTGCCACCCCCGTAGGAACTCCTGACGGTGTAGCTCTTGCGGGAGGTGAGCCCTCCAGTTCCGGCGTAGGAGCTGCTGCTGAAGCTCCTCGGGGCACTGGAGCTCTTCACGGTGTATGAGGTGGCCTTGTAACTGGCTGCCATTGTGAGCTTAAGGGGTTTTTTTTTTGCTTTTTGGGTGAAGGTTGACGAGGCAGGCAGGCCAGCAGAGCGAAGAGAGACCAGAGTGGATAGGAAGAGATGGGACTAGTGAGGAGTTTTAAAGCGCTTGTTGCTGTGGGAGGAGACTGAGGTGAAATGCCATTGGCTGCAGGTCTGGGCTAGGGCCTGGAGGCAGGGCTGTAATATTACACTCCTATGACACATTGTCAGCCACTGAAAACCATTACCTGACCTCCTCGCAGGCCTCCATGTTGTTTGAGAAAACCTTTATTTTGGAGCTTATTATCAGCCGTTTTGATGTTTTGAATTCAACACATTGCTTTGTTTCTGCTTGTTTTGTGCAGTCTAAACTGTTTCAGTATGATTAAAGCATCCCAAACAAACTCTAGACGTAAGGTGGATGCTATGGTTGAATGAATCACACAAAAGTTAATGCAGCGCATGGAGCATGTAACAAGGTGTGAGCCGATTTTTAGGTATCAGGCATTTTTTTTTTCGAGCCAGTTGCTTACACTTATTATTAGCATACTTTTTACTCTCGGGACTCTTCACAAGTGAACATGCATTTCAATATGACAGCACTTGTTTTACATGTCGAAGTAAACCGCAAGACAGGTTTTTCAGTGGTAGCTCCCAGCAATTCTTTTTCATTGACTTCCTCAAAAGAATAATAGCGCTCATTTCTGACAGATTAATACAATGCCTCAGCAATTAAAATCTACAACTATAAGCATCCAGCAATTAGCTGTAAGTTAAAGGAAGGGTAATTTTTTTTTTCACATTTAAGCCAACTTTTCTGTCTTATTTCCTCCCTTTGTATTTTTTTTTCTCATCAATACACAGTAATTTAGTTAATAGTCACGTTAAAAGAACACAACTCAGCTGAAACAGGTTTTTTTTTTTCATTAGTTGTCATCTATCTATAAAAACATGTTAAATATAAAATGAAGAAAATGCCCTACTATTATATATAAAGAGTGATGAAGCGAAACTTAAAAGCCATGGCTAGCTAGCGGTTCATGCTAACGCTAACACTCACCGCACTGCCACAACCACTTTCCAGCATTTGGTGTCAAGATTTTCATTATCTTGTCTTGTTGAATCTGATCCATGTTTTGGGATGAATGTTACAACAAAGCTCCTGGACAAAAAAAAATAATGAAAATAAAGTTATTCAGTTGATACTAGCAAGAATCACAATGCTGACAAAGTTAACCTGAAAATTACACCCACTTTCCAAATGCGCTTTGATCTTATGTTCACTTTTCAAAACTTTCATGATGATGAAGCATGTTTTCACATTCCCATAGCAATGACCTTTCTTATAAGAATGAAAGAATATTTGCAGTGATGCTTTCTATTGATGATGAAGATTTAGAGTGGATTCTACTAAAAGTTGACCTAAGAGTGGACCTGTTAGCTTTGGCGAGGTCCGCACCTTCTACTTGCTGTCAAATAACATCCATGACCTCTGTGGTATCCTTCGGGTTGATATTTCACAGTGGTGATAGCAGTTTTTGGAGGCTTTAGAGCTCAAGATTCTTTGGTTATTACGGTCAAGTTCTCAATAGCACGCTGAGCAAATGCACACCAGGTGAGCTGTGAACCAGCCGGTTTTGATTACCCGTTGGACATGGAGCATGGTAGACAACAGAATATAATTTAGCATGGAGCGCTCTGTATAGTTAAAAAGCTATTAAAAACAACAGCCCAGTGGTTATGTCAATGTCACGTTACACTCCACTCCTGTAATACATCTGCATTCCCTTTGCGACATAATTCAAATTGTAACATAATAAGTTCTCATCCTTTGCTTATTGGCCACAAAATTAGCTCGTTTTAAAAGAGGTCTCTTAAAGATAAAAACAATAGATTTAATTCAGACCTACAGCGCATTAAAAAAAAAAAAATCAGCATAAAAACGAGTCCATCCAGCATCATGAAACACTTTTAGGCAAACTCTTTCACTGAATACTAAACATTTTACCATTTTGAACAAGAATATTGAGAAATTGAATTCAGCTTTCAATACAGAAATGTCACCTTTGCTGGGAAGTGAGACACTATCAATCATAACACTTTTTTTCTGTTCAGCAATATTAATCTAAAGACCTAACTACCCTTGTAGTTATATATTATAGATTAAAAATGTACTGCATCAAACTCTTCACTTTCCTTATTTAGCTAGTTGTTATTAAAACTGTTCTCATTATGATGACGGGCACGTCTACACCGCGACATATTGTTTAATTAATTCACACAGCATATTCTATGATGGTGACTGATTTCTAAGTCTTGCATGCTTGCAGTATATCACTCATAACTTCCAGCAAAGTAACTTCACTTTTTTTTTCTCACTGGGCTATGATCCACCCCGACCCGCCCTGCGTTCTTCTTTCTCCTCCCTCCCCCGGTCCCTCGCCACGATGAGTCATGTCTTATATGAACCAGTCCAAGCCCCGCCGCCATTTCCCCACTCCTCCATTTTTTTTTCTTTTTCTATCAGTCTGTTTTCCCGCCATTGGCCCTCGGCCGGCATCATCGTCATGGAAATGTACAAAAATAAAACTCCCATCCTCCTTGAACAGCAGCGGATGCCAATGAGAGCAGAGGCATTCGACACAGGGCTGCGAAAGCAAAGAAGGGTCGGAGCCAATGCCCAAAATGAACATGTGGCAATGCTGATACCTTGTTGTGAATGTGACTGGGAGTGAGAAATCAAAAATCAAGAGTTGCTGTGCGAAACTCACATGACTGCAGTGCGACCATTGTAATCACTCGGTTTTGAATCATGTGGGTGGTTTGTTCAAATCTACAAAAAACAGGAACTTTTGTTTCACAGTGCTCGGAAGAATTTCACTAATTCAACAGACACTCATGAATCATAACTTGGTCCAATGTGGACTCCCAGATTTCGAGTGAAATGCTGTTTCATGTTTTAGTGTGTGTGTGTTTTAATCACCGTAGTCGCATTTAATCAGGGTTGGATTCCGCTCTTGGAAGAATCAATATGCTCCATTACACAACCAGGAGTTGAGTCTTATCAGGCCTCACTTTGCTGAGTAGTGAATCTGGAGAATTAGAATATTTAGAATAGAAGAGATTTTTTTTTTTAATATTGGCAAGGGAATTTACAAGGCTTTTGTAGAAAAAGGGATACTCCTGTAAGAAGGAAAATACAGACCAAGAGTTACATGAAGTCAGCATTTCAAAAACACTTTATTGTTTACAACGTAGCAAAATTATGGTGATTAAAAATGTGATGAAAAGGGTTCAGATGGCAACAATACAAACCAAGAACTGATTATTTGCACTTCTTGTTTTTCCTGTAGGAAACATTGTTTTGAAATCAAGACTAAATGGAGAGCAACCAGCCTCCATACTGGATTGTGTTTTACCTCTAACGTTCAAAAACATCATTGACTTGGCAAAACTAAGCTTTTTCAAACCACTTGGCGGCCATCTTTGTGAAATGTGGGAATGTGTGTTCAAATATTTTTTTGTGACGTTCACTTCATGATGTAATATAGTGGCTAGCGTGCTATACATAATTCCACTAGGTTTCTTATACTGTATTGTACAAATAGCGACCCACAAGTGGCTCCGACCAAGGCCATTGGTATGACACTAGCAAAGCTTATAAGATAAGAAAACCTTTTTTTGTCTCACAATGGAGAAATTCCCAATTTACAGCAGCAAAATTATGAAAGGGAGAAAGTAGAAGAACAAAAACTATATCAATAAATATAATATATATATATAGGCATATTAAAAATGTGTCCTGTATGTACTGTAATTACGATTATGTAGCAATATCATTTGTTAAGTGTACAAAGGTTAAACCTCAATTGCCTTTCACGGAAGAAACTCTTGAGGTTGAGGTCGCACAACAAACATTTCCCGGGGGAGGTGAGGGGCTTGGATCTCAATTTGCACAAAACTAACCTCCTGCATGACGTTACAGGTGCCATCGAGATATTGAAATGGAGCTCGGCACAGCAAACAACAAATTATTCAATACCATTAACCTGACATGCATGTTTATCGAATGTGGGAGGAAGCTGGAGTAGCTGGAGAAAAACGCACGCAAGCATGGGACAGAGAGCAGATGGCGAACCCATGACCTCTCGGATGTGAGGTGGACGTGCGAACCACGAAGTCACCAGACTGCTCTTTGGCAACAATTGTTTTCTAAAGCAAACAAATCGGAGCCTGACGATATGAACAAATTGCTTAACCTCAGAGGTTGCACTGAAATTCTCTCGAGTGCACTAATACAAACCCAAATGAATGGCTATTAGTATATTTGATGATTAAAAGCAAGGGCACACATTTAAAGTTGCCACCGTCGCTCATTGCAACGGCTACGTTAGTCTCCATGGTTGTGTGTCATCTGTCTAATCACAAGCACAGGGCTGATTTCTTGTGACTGAGGTCAAGTAGCAATCGGGAGTGTACCACACGAAACATGACCGGATACACAGACACAAGATGGACCTTGACCCTCGCAATCCATAAACATCCCAAATCTCTGTCAAGTATGTCGCAAGCTGCCGCTGTGTGTGAGTGTGCGCCCAAGGCACAGACGGCGTGTGTTGATGGGTGTGACCGTCTATCGGCTCTAACCTCAACGCACACACACAGTGGAGGAGTACGGACCCACGCAAATGTGATCAGTGGTCGGACTCCTTGTGATACGTCACAATGGGCTTTCCACAGCATTTTTGGAAACAACAAGAGAAATTGAAAAGCAGCTCTAATATTCACAAAACACGCGAATCACAAGCGTTAAAAAAAAAAAAAAAAATCCCGCTGGGCACATTACATCAATTTGATGTCAATTTGATGTTGAAGAATGGCTTTTGATATTCGATTGATGTTGAATTGCTGGTCTTGATTGTAGTTGGTTGGCAGTTCACAGAAGTTTTGTTCAACTTTCGAGGCATGATAAGCCACTGAAATGGACCATCACAAAAAAATGACAGTGGGTGACCGTTCGCCACACACGAGGCGGTACCGCACAAAAGCTGCCACTCCATGTCCTGTATTATTTCTGATTGAATCACAAAAACATGGCAGG